TTCCTTATAAGTCTTGGAGTCTCACTTAAGAAGATGGATAAAAAAGTCCTCCTTGAGAGAACTGGAGAACCTTCTCCAAGTTCTCCAAAGTGTTCCTCATAAGTCTCGTGGTCCCATTTGAGAAGATGGAGCAAAGGTCCTCCTTGAGAGAGATGGAGAACATTATCCAAGATCTCCAAGTCATTCCTTATAAATCTTGGATAAACAATCCTCCTTGAGAGATCTGGAGAACCTTCTCCAAGTTCTCCAAGGTGTTCCTCATAAGTCTTAGAGTTCAATTTGAGGAGATGGATCAAAAGTCCTCCTTGAGTGCGATGGAGAACCTTCTCCAAGTTCTCCAAAGCGTTCCTCATAAGTCACATGGTCCCATTTGAGAAGATGGAGCAAAGGTCCTGCTCGAGAGAGATGGAGAACATTATCCAAGTTCTCCAAGTAGTTCCTCATTAGTCTTATAGTCCCACTTAAGAAGATGGATAAAAGGTCTTCCTTGAGAGAGCAAGAGAACATTCTCCATGTTCTCCAAGCCATTCATCATAAATCTTGATTTCCAGATCTATTAATCCATCTCTGTGGTCAAGTGTGCTACGTCTAGCACAATGGTGACATTTCAAGTCGGTGGTTCCTTCCATCTTGGGTTTTGTGTTGTTTTTTTAATATAGGGGACAATCGGGCCAACGAGATGCCAACTCTGACCGTCTTGCACACACTCTTTGTCCGCGAACACAATCGCCTGGCCACTGAGCTGAAGAGGCTGAACCCGCAAAAGGGCGGGGACTACATCTATGAAGAGGCACGGAAAATCGTAGGCGCCATGATCCAGGTACAAAGGGAACCATTGTTGCTGCTGCGGTAGAGGCAGAAATGGGACAACACTCGGAAACATTGCCGGATGATGGTGATTGTGAGGAGGGAGCTCAAAAAAGCTGGCCATGCCAGGTGGAGAATGGTGGGCATTGGGGTCTCTCTACCATGGCTAGGTTCACCTCATGATGAAGGTGGAGAGGGGACAGAGCTTAGAAACATGGCCTATGCTGGGTGGGGGATGATGAGAATTAGAGTCAAAAACCCGAACCCAATAGCTAGACTGGCATCATGATGATGATGGAGGATGAATGAAACCTTTCTTTCTTTCTTTCTTTCTTTCTTTCTTTCTTTCTTTCTTTCTTTCTTTCTTTCTTTCTTTCTTTCTTTCTTTCTCTCATTTGTTGGTTCATTTGTTCGTTCGTTTGTTCTTTTGTTCTTTCATTATTTCGTTCTTTCTTCCTTTCCAGAAAATCACCTTTTCTGAGTTCATCCCACTCCTCCTGGGCAATGCAGCCCCGTTCTCCTGGCACCGGTACCGGGGCTACAACGAGTCGGTGGACCCCCGCGTGGCCAGCGTCTTCACCAACGCCTACCGCTTTGGCCACGCCATCGTACGCGATGTGGTCTTCCGCCTGAACAGTCGCTTCCAGGTCCAGAGCCAGACGCCGCTCCACCAGGAGTTCTTTGCCACGTGGAGGATCATCAAGGAAGGTCTGTACCTTCGCGAGAGTCCACAGAGAGAGACGTTACACATGATTGAGTGATTTAGAGAGGCATAGATATGATAAATACAGAATCCTAGAGCCATCTAGTCCAACCCTATCTCTCTCTCTCTCAGTCATAGAATCACCAAGTTGGAAAGGACCCCAAGGGCCCTCCAGTCCAACCCTATGTCTGTCTGTCTGTCTGTGTCTCTATCATAGAATCACCAAGTTGGAAAGGACCGCAAGGGCCATCCAGTCCAACCCTATGTCTGTCTGTCTCTCTATCATAGAATCACCAAGTTGGAAAGAACCCCAAGGGTCATCCAGTCCAACCCTATGTCTGTCTGTCTCTCTATCATAGAATCACCAAGTTGGAAAGGACCCCAAGGGCCATCCAGTCCAACCCTATGTCTGTCTGTCTCTCTATCATAGAATCACCAAGTTGGAAAGAACCCCAAGGGTCATCCAGTCCAACCCTATGTCTGTCTGTCTCTCTATCATAGAATCACCAAGTTGGAAAGAACCCCAAGGGCCATCTAGTCCAACCCTATGTCTATCTGTCTCTCTATCATAGAATCACCAAGTTGGAAAGGACCCCGAGGGCCATCTAGTCCAACACTATGTCTGTCTGTCTGTCTCTATCATAGAATCACCAAGTTGGAAAGGACCCCAAGGGCCATCCAGTCCAACCCTATGTCTGTCTGTCTGTCTGTGTCTCTATCATAGAATCACCAAGTTGGAAATGACCCCAAGGGCCATCCAGTCCAACCCTATCTCTCTCTCTCTCAGTCATAGAATTACCAAGTTGGAAAGAGCCCCAAGGGCCATCTAGTCCAACCCTATGTCTGTCTCTCTATCATAGAATCACCAAGTTGGAAAGAACCCCAAGGGTCATCCAGTCCAACCCTATGTCTGTCTGTCTCTCTATCATAGAATCACCAAGTTGGAAAGAACCCCAAGGGTCATCCAGTCCAACCCTATGTCTGTCTGTCTCTCTATCATAGAATCACCAAGTTGGAAAGAACCCCAAGGGCCATCTAGTCCAACACTATGTCTGTCTGTCTGTCTCTATCATAGAATCACCAAGTTGGAAAGAACCCCAAGGGTCATCCAGTCCAACCCTATGTCTGTCTGTCTCTCTATCATAGAATCACCAAGTTGGAAAGGACCCCAAGGGCCATCTAGTCCAACACTATGTCTGTCTGTCTCTCTATCATAGAATCACCAAGTTGGAAAGAACCCCAAGGGTCATCCAGTCCAACCCTATGTCTGTCTGTCTCTCTATCATAGAATCACCAAGTTGGAAAGAACCCCAAGGGTCATCCAGTCCAACCCTATGTCTGTCTGTCTCTCTATCATAGAATCACCAAGTTGGAAAGAACCCCAAGGGTCATCCAGTCCAACCCTATGTCTGTCTGTCTCTCTATCATAGAATCACCAAGTTGGAAAGAACCCCAAGGGTCATCCAGTCCAACCCTATGTCTGTCTGTCTCTCTATCATAGAATCACCAAGTTGGAAAGGACCCCAAGGGCCATCTAGTCCAACCCTATGTCTGTCTGTCTCTCTATCATAGAATCACCAAGTTGGAAAGAACCCCAAGGGTCATCCAGTCCAACCCTATGTCTGTCTGTCTCTCTATCATAGAATCACCAAGTTGGAAAGGACCCCAAGGGCCATCTAGTCCAAAACTATGTCTGTCTGTCTGTCTCTATCATAGAATCACCAAGTTGGAAAGAACCCCAAGGGCCATCCAGTCCAACTCTATGTCTGTCTGTCTCTCTATCATAGAATCACCAAGTTGGAAAGAACCCCAAGGGCCATCTAGTCCAACCCTATGTCTATCTGTCTCTCTATCATAGAATCGCCAAGTTGGAAAGGACCCCAAGGGCCATCCAGTCCAACCCTATGTCTGTCTGTCTCTCTATCATAGAATCACCAAGTTGGAAAGGACCCCAAGGGCCATCCAGTCCAACCCTATGTCTGTCTGTCTCTCTATCATAGAATCACCAAGTTGGAAAGAACCCCAAGGGTCATCCAGTCCAACCCTATGTCTGTCTGTCTCTCTATCATAGAATCACCAAGTTGGAAAGGACCCCAAGGGCCATCTAGTCCAACACTATGTCTGTCTGTCTGTCTCTATCATAGAATCACCAAGTTGGAAAGAACCCCAAGGGTCATCCAGTCCAACCCTATGTCTGTCTGTCTCTCTATCATAGAATCACCAAGTTGGAAAGAACCCCAAGGGTCATCCAGTCCAACCCTATGTCTGTCTGTCTCTCTATCATAGAATCACCAAGTTGGAAAGAACCCCAAGGGTCATCCAGTCCAACCCTATGTCTGTCTGTCTCTCTATCATAGAATCACCAAGTTGGAAAGGACCCCAAGGGCCATCTAGTCCAACCCTATGTCTGTCTGTCTCTCTATCATAGAATCACCAAGTTGGAAAGGACCCCAAGGGCCATCCAGTCCAACCCTATGTCTGTCTGTCTCTCTATCATAGAATCACCAAGTTGGAAAGAACCCCAAGGGCCATCCAGTCCAACCCTATGTCTATCTGTCTCTCTATCATAGAATCACCAAGTTGGAAAGAACCCCAAGGGTCATCCAGTCCAACCCTATGTCTGTCTGTCTCTCTATCATAGAATCACCAAGTTGGAAAGAACCCCAAGGGTCATCCAGTCCAACCCTATGTCTGTCTGTCTCTCTATCATAGAATCACCAAGTTGGAAAGGACCCCAAGGGCCATCTAGTCCAACCCTATGTCTGTCTGTCTGTCTCTGTCATAGAATCACCAAGTTGGAAAGGACCCCAAGGGCCATCCAGTCCAACCCTATGTCTGTCTTCTCTATCATAGAATCACCAAGTTGGAAATGACCCCAAGGGCCATCCAGTCCAACCCTATGTCTGTCTCTCTATCATAGAATCACCAAGTTGGAAAGGACCCCAAGGGCCATCTAGTCCAACCCTATGTCTGTCTGTCTCTCTATCATAGAATCACCAAGTTGGAAAGAACCCCAAGGGTCATCCAGTCCAACCCTATGTCTGTCTGTCTCTCTATCATAGAATCACCAAGTTGGAAAGAACCCCAAGGGTCATCCAGTCCAACCCTATGTCTGTCTGTCTCTCTATCATAGAATCACCAAGTTGGAAAGGACCCCGAGGGCCATCTAGTCCAACACTATGTCTGTCTGTGTCTCTCTATCATAGAATCACCAAGTTGGAAAGAACCCCAAGGGTCATCCAGTCCAACCCTATGTCTGTCTGTCTCTCTATCATAGAATCACCAAGTTGGAAAGAACCCCAAGGGTCATCCAGTCCAACCCTATGTCTGTCTGTCTCTCTATATCATAGAATCACCAAGTTGGAAAGGACCCCAAGGGCCATCTAGTCCAACACTATGTCTGTCTGTCTCTCTATCATAGAATCACCAAGTTGGAAAGAACCCCAAGGGCCATCCAGTCCAACCCTATGTCTATCTGTCTCTCTATCATAGAATCACCAAGTTGGAAAGAACCCCAAGGGTCATCCAGTCCAACCCTATGTCTGTCTGTCTCTCTATCATAGAATCACCAAGTTGGAAAGGACCCCGAGGGCCATCTAGTCCAACCTATGTCTGTCTGTCTGTCTCTATCATAGAATCACCAAGTTGGAAAGAACCCCAAGGGCCATCCAGTCCAACCCTATGTCTGTCTGTCTCTCTATCATAGAATCACCAAGTTGGAAAGAACCCCAAGGGCCATCTAGTCCAACCCTATGTCTGTCTGTCTCTCTATCATAGAATCACCAAGTTGGAAAGAACCCCAAGGGTCATCCTAGTCCAACCCTATGTCTGTCTGTCTCTCTATCATAGAATCACCAAGTTGGAAAGGACCCCGAGGGCCATCTAGTCCAACCCTATGTCTGTCTGTCTGTCTCTATCATAGAATCACCAAGTTGGAAAGACCCCAAGGGCCATCTAGTCCAACCCTATGTCTGTCTGTCTGTCTCTATCATAGAATCACCAAGTTGGAAAGAACCCCAAGGGTCATCCAGTCCAACCCTATGTCTGTCTGTCTGTCTATCTCTCTGTCATAGAATCACCAAGTTGGAAAGAACCCCAAGGGCCATCCAGTCCAACCCTATGTCTATCTGTCTCTCTATCATAGAATCACCAAGTTGGAAAGGACCCCAAGGGCCATCTAGTCCAACCTATGTCTATCTGTCTCTCTATCATAGAATCGCCAAGTTGGAAAGGACCCCAAGGGCCATCCAGTCCAACCCTATGTCTGTCTGTCTCTCTATCATAGAATCACCAAGTTGGAAAGGACCCCAAGGGCCATCTAGTCCAACACTATGTCTGTCTGTCTGTCTCTATCATAGAATCACCAAGTTGGAAAGAACCCCAAGGGTCATCCAGTCCAACCCTATGTCTGTCTGTCTCTGTCTATCTCTCTGTCATAGAATCACCAAGTTGGAAAGGACCCCAAGGGCCATCCAGTCCAACCCTATGTCTGTCTCTCTATCATAGAATCACCAAGTTGGAAATGACCCCAAGGGCCATCCAGTCCAACCCTATGTCTGTCTGTCTCTCTATCATAGAATCACCAAGTTGGAAAGAACCCCAAGGGCCATCTAGTCCAACCCTATGTCTATCTGTCTCTCTATCATAGAATCACCAAGTTGGAAAGAACCCCAAGGGCCATCTAGTCCAACCCTATGTCTGTCTGTCTATCATAGAATCACCAAGTTGGAAAGAACCCCAAGGGCCATCTAGTCCAACCCTATGTCTGTCTCTCTATCATAGAATCACCAAGTTGGAAAGACCCCAAGGGCCATCCAGTCCAACCCTATGTCTGTCTGTCTCTCTATCATAGAATCACCAAGTTGGAAAGAACCCCAAGGGCCATCTAATCCAACCCTATGTCTGTCTGTCTGTCTGTCTGTCCGTCTCTCTATCATAGAATCACCAAGTTGGAAAGGACCCCAAGGGCCGTCCAGTCCAACCCTATGTCTTTCTCTCTATCATAGAATCACCAAGTTGTAAATGACCCCAAGGGCCATCTAGTCCAACCCTATGTCTGTCTATCTGTCTCTCTATCATAGAATCACCAAGTTGGAAAGGACCCCAAGGGCCATCTAGTCCAACCCTATGTCTGTCTGTCTGTCTCTATCATAGAATCACCAAGTTGGAAAGAACCCCAAGGGCCATCCAGTCCAACCCTATGTCTGTCTGTCTGTCTCTCTATCATAGGAATCACCAAGTTGGAAAGGAAGCCAAGGGCCATCTAGTCTAACCCTATGTCTGTTTGTCTATTTATTTATCTATCTATCATCATACAATCCTAGTTGGAAGGGCCGTCAAAGCAGGTCCATACTTTCCCAGTGGTCCACAGATAAAGATTGAGAGAGGGAGAGATATGATTAGTAATAATAATAATAATAATAATAATAATAATAATAATAATAATAAATATAACAAATATAGAATTCTAGAGCCTCCAAAGGCTCTCTATGTCTCTATCTATCTATCTATCTATCTATCTATCTATCTATCATAGAATCATGGAGTTGGAAGGGCCGCCAAGGGGCATCCAGTCCAACCCTCTTCTGCCATATAGAAAGGCACAGTGAAAACCAACAGGTAGAGCAGTCAGAGTTTTAACAAACAGAGCTCACTACTTCCCTTTTTCCTCCTTCCAGGAGGCATCGATCCCATCATGCGAGGTCTCCTGGCCAAGCCGGCGAAGCTGATCAGGCAAGACCAGATGGTGGTGGAGTCCCTCCGAGACCGTCTCTTTGAGCAGGTCTCCAGGATCGGCCTGGACCTACCTTCGCTCAACATGCAGCGGGGCCGGGAGCATGGCCTGCCAGGTAGACACCAATGGTCCTCCTTCCAAAGACATTGCAGGTTAATACCAAGCGTCATGAACATGCCCAAGAGCCCTGCCAGGGTCCTCCACCAACACCATAGAGCCCAACACCTAAATGAAGGCTTTCACACTGGGACAATTC